AGAAAAATTCCTGACTGCAACTCAGTGTTATCCCAGTCGACGTGATTTCGCACCTGTTCACCGAAAGGTTTAATATATCCCTTCTTGGGACCCACTAATCCTACTTGATTTAAGCTTAAAGCTCAAGATAAAAGGACTTTAAGAACCAAGAAAAATACAATATTGACTTACGAGTTTCTGGTTAGGAATTAGCGGTGCAATACTTACTTCCTCTTCACGTGTTTCTCCTTCAGCCCGCTGCTGTAACTCCTCAGATGCTCTATCGTACATCGCCCGTAACCTGAAAGTGATCAGTTTATCCACTTGAAAAAAATCCAATATCAAATTTTCATACGTTTGATTCTCCTCCTCTTTGGCTTTCAAACTGGCAGCTAGATTATCAGACTTGGTCATCAACTCAAAGTTAGTACAGTGCATCCTATCCAACTCGTCAGCAGTTTCAGAGCATTTCGCTCGTAGTTGTTCCAATTCCTCGCGAAGGACACTCATCTGTTGTATTTCCTCACGAAGATGAACCATCTCTGAGTCTAGTTCAGCTGCTGGAAATGGTATTTTCAAACAGTTCTTGGGCTTATGAATATTGGGAACTACTACCATGTGCTCTGAGTTGTTCAACCTCCGCATTTGTTTCGGTTTGTCCTGAGGGATGGTTGGATTCACTTGATCCTTCATTGTTGCGTTCTATTGAGAGACTTCTTCTTGTCGTCTCAAGTTTCGCATCGTGGAGCTGTTCCAATAACTGAGCGGCTTCTGAAGATGACTTGGAAGGGTTAATTTATTGAAAGACACATAAGCAGATAATGCACACATGCAGTTGAAATCAAGATCTTTCTAAAGCTGGAGAAGTTTTTTTTGGAGATAACAACGCCTAATACTACTTCAAGCTAATTGCTCGCTAATGTAGATCTGTACAGATCCAACGCACCAGGAAACTTTGTTCTTTAGATATTCCTATGAAAAGGCCAAAACTGCCGCAAAACCGCTAATGATATTTGCAATATACGTCCATAATATAGATTAAAATTTTATTCAAGTCAAGGATAAATTCTCTGCGTTTCTTGCTGTTAGTTTTTTAGTGAAGTCGGATGTGATGACCATTGAAATGTGGTTTTCGTCGAATGAAACCGTGTTTCCAAACACACTATGCATACCTTCACTTTTCCGTTCAACCTCTAATCGAGCCGTTTCCAGCCGCAATTCACATTCTGCCCTGTACACCTGCTCACGCTCTTCAGCCTAAAATGCGATTCATAGATTATGTACGAAAGGTTTTGAATTACATTTCAAACTCATTGTCCGCTCATCTTAACATCCGGATCATTGCCTTAAGTTTATATCAATTTTTAATCAATATCTTTCTCAAACTATGAAGTCTCAGCGGATATTTCAGATATAATTATGCAGTCATTTATCAAACTGCATTCATGCACTTTCAAAACTTTTAGTAAAGATGTCCTTTACCGTATGCTTGTCACAAACTTGACACTTCAAAAAGAGTTTGAAAGTGAACTAAGCACAAAAAGTACAGTCCAACAAACAAGGTCGAGTATAATTCTTTATTTTTCTGTAAGTAAAGGTTTACTGACTATTGAAGGACCTGAATAATAAATGAATAAGCGAAAAAGGCAATATTTTGTTGCTACAACCAATTTCACTGCCCTTATCTATTTGACTTTAAGCTTTAGCGGAATTAAACAGAGAGTCATCATTCTTTGTCTACACTTTTAAAACACATTCCTAACGAAAAAGAAGAGTTATTCGCAAGGATAGCGCATTTTTACACTTCAAAAACTACTGTTTCTGATTCTTTTATCTCTTCTATGGTGCAGGTTTTGGTATGATAGGAACGTCAGCATATACTTGACGAAGGTTACTTGTTCCTACCTCTCTAATTCTTTTTTCCAATTGTTTGCACGTCTCAGTCATGTCGGCCTCGTCACGTTCACGCATTTCAAACTCGCACACTTTCTCCATAAGTTTCTCGTTCTCCTCTTCCAATACTTTGCATTTTTGGTCGAGAGCTTTTGTGCGCAATCGATCTTCTGAAAACAACTGTTTAAATAGATGATATAATTACCTTAAATACAACGATACGTA